GAAAATACACAGAAAGCAGTTCAAGAAAGTTGATAAGATAAATAGAAAACTATATACCCTGAACTCTTGCAGGGCTCCTAGCAGCAGGTAGCAAAGGGCACGAAGTTGGACTAGGCTGGCCAGCTCCAGGGAGCACATCCATCCCTCTCCACGCCAGATCTCAGACTAACCTGTGCCCTGTCACTATCACCTGCATGGGGAGAAGAGCCAGGCTTGCTCCTTGGCCAGCTGGTGTCACACCAGAGGCAGAGGTCACTGGGGCTGGGAAAGCTGCGCCGCTCAGTTTAAAGATTAATAGATGGTGCCTTCCTCCAGGCTGTAAAAGTGGGCAGGTAAGAGCAAAATCACAAAGCTGGTGACCTGAGAGATTGCAGTCTGTCCAAGAATGCTGGTGTAGCCCCAGGGTGGTACAGCTAGTAGGACACCATGTGCAAAGGCTTAGGGATTCATGTGTGAGTCAGAGGGACTGGGAAATCTTTGTAAAAATTACCAGAAATCCCCCTTTACCTGTTTGTCTTTTCCTCGTGACTCATCCCACAGAAAAGAGATAATACGGAAAGATGTGTCTCTACGGTCAATTTTTCTCACCAGAGATGACAGAGAAGGTACAGGTATCTACAGCTTTTTCCCCACTTCAAAAAAGATATTAAATATTCAATTTTCCTGCATTTTCTAATACTGTTGAGGTTTGGGTTCACAGTCCAGAGCTACAGGGGAGAAAATGAAATGGGGCATGACAGTCCATGCACCCCCTAGTCCTTCATCCTTCTGTCTCTCCAGAAGAAGGCTGCAGGTGGAAGAAGCTGTGGGCCATCACTGCTCTGGTGCTGAATCAGAGGGGGTGCTCGGGACAGCCAAGGAGAAGAACAGCAACCCAAAAATGCGAATTGTCTTCTTCAGAGCTGGAAAAGTCTGGGGATCCGAGTTCCTTTGTTGTCAGAAACGTAACTTACACAGATGGGGCCACTCAAATCCACCGTTGCAATCTTCTCAGAGCTGGTGTTGGTCGCTGCCATGTTTTCCACCACCACCACTGGTGGACTGAGATCTTTGGAGGCATAATTTGATGTGCAGCGCCTGAGAAACGGAGCAAAACAAATCATTAGGTGTCAGATAAGCCCAAGGAGCTGTTTGGATTTTGAACGCGATCCAACTGAACCAAGAACGGGATATAACTCACGGCAGTACAGAGCTGATAGCTGGGACACAGCTCATTTAATTAATTTATGGAGGTGACCTTTCCCCTAATTTTCTGCCCTTTCACATAAAACACATCTTATGACCCCCTGCTTCTTTCAACTTTTCCCCAGGGATCCCTTCTCAGTTTGGCTACTTGCATTTAAACTAAAGCTGAGCAAAATGTTTGAAGGTTTCTCAAGATGTATTGTTTACTTTCTCATAACAAAAATAAACATCTCAAGGAATGTCCTTTTTTTGGGACTTCAGGTTGTCCTTGAAAAAAAGGGTAATGTTGGCAGGAGTCAGAAATTTTGGGGGCGTGGGTCTCTTAATTTTCCTCAATAAAGTTTCAATGCATAGAAATACACATTTCAATAACATCTGGGGATGGAGAGAAGAATTTGGTCCAGATATAAAACAAAACCAAATATCATTGTCCTGAAGAGCAAGGGAGCTGGGGAAGGGTCTGGAGCACAAGTGTGAGGAGGAGCAGCTGAGGGAGCTGGGGGTGTCCAGGCTGGAGCAAAGGAGGCTGAGGGGAGACCTTCTGGCTCTGCAGCTGCCTGAGAGGAGGTTGGAGCCAGGGGGATCGGGCTCTGCTCCCCAGGAACAAGGGATGGGACAAGAGGAAATGGGCTGCAGTGGTAGGGCTGGAGTCCCCATCCCTGGAGGGGTTTCCAAGCCGTGTAGATGTGGTGCTGAGGGACATGGGGCAGGGGTGGCCTTGGCAGGGCTGGGGGAGTGGTTGGACTGAGTGAAAGGTCTTATCCAACCTAAATGATTCCACAAGTTTAAACTGGTATTACCCAACACCCACTCTACCAATTCTCCAAGCACCATTTACTGAACCCTGTTGTGGGCTGATGGAAAAAGAGCCTCCATAGAACAGGGCCCCAACAAGCACTGGGCTTTGGCATCCCCTGCACTCCCTGATCACACTTGGCTCCTGGAGGATTTAATTCCTGGCAGCCCTGGGTCACTCACCTCCGGAGAACACTTATGGCTACAGTGATGGCAACCAACAGCAAGAGGCTTCCACTGAGAGACACCATGACAATCTCATAAGTAGATGGGGATAAACCTTGAAGACAGAGTGGAAATCACAGGTGAGTTTTCCCAACAAACAGCTTTAAGAAATGCAGCCCCTTGGTGAAAGGACCCCAGGTTGTTCCAGGCTGCAAATATTGATTTTCCTGCTGCAAACCATGGATGGAGAGGGATGACCAACTGAGAGTGCTCCTGGGAAACTTCTTTTTTTCCCCAAAAATCTCACAGCTCACTTAATGAACTCAAAGGTCTTTTATCTTCCAAAGCACAAAGCTTTGCAGGGCTGAAACCCAACCTTATGGATCTCAGGGTGGAACAGTCTGTCCTCCACTGTTGGACCACAAAGTTCTCTCTCATTGTCCACCTATTCACAGCAAAGCCATGGCAGGATTCCAAACCTCCAGCCAGCACTTTCCATCCCCTGCCACCCCTCTCAATTTCAGTTTCCATCCTTTTTGGTTTAATTCCAGACTTACTGGAGTTAAATGTGGTTTATGTCCCCTCTCTACCCCTGCCTCCCACTCCTCTCATCTGCTGCACCAGCTCCTTTTGTTTCCACCATTCTTCTCTCAATAAAGCCCCAAGAGAAATGGGTCTCTTCATTCCTACCTTTTGAGCTCATTCAGCACTTTTAATCTGCTAATCTGACACACTTAATGACACTGCTATTGCCTGGCACCTCTCAGCAGTAAATAAAAATTAATAAACACTGAAACACATGGAAAATGCTACCAAACAGGAAAGTAAAGCACCTTCTTCCTCAGAAACCATCATGTTGTCGAAACCTCCTTCACCAGCAGGGACCATCCTGAAAAACAAAGCCAAGAGACATTCAGATGGCAAATTGAATCAAAATGGGCACATTCCTTTCAGATCAGTTGGTGGGTCTGAGCATTCCACCATCTCATCCAGTTATCTTTATAAGTTCCTCATGAGATTTCTTCCTTGAGGATCTTCCTTGAGGTTTTGCTCTCACCCTTTTTACAGACTGGGAGAGCAAACAGATACCAAATGCAGAATTTAGTCTGACATCAACAACCTGAAGGTTCTTCTTAAAGCAATGAACTTCCCCAGGAACCTCAACTTTGACTTCATGTTTGTCTATAGCATCTAATCTTGGCACAGACAAGGGCTGTGGCATCACACTCCAGCACCCACTTTTGCCTCCTGTCAGCCAATTTGCCCCAGAGGGAGACTTTTAGCAGAAAAGGTAATGGAGCCCCAGGTTCTTAAAC